GTCATTCCTACCGTTGCAGCTGATGTCGTATCCTTAATATGGTAAGCCAAACCGCCAATAAACCTGCGGATCGTTGCTTTTTCTGTCTTAACCATGTGAGGAGCATACTTAGCCAAACTTATGAATTCCATGTAGTACTCTTGCACACTTTTGTTCCCTTGCTTAAGCTGCACGAACTCTGTAGCCTTAGCTTCCATATCCTCTTCTGGTATAAAATTAGCCATGAATGTCTCTTCAAATTCTTCCCAAGTAGGCGGACCATCATCTTCATCTCTTTCCTTTTCCCACTTCTCAAACCAAGTGCCAGCCATATCTCTAAGCTGGTAGGCAGCCAACTCCACAGCTTCATCACCAAATTCCTTCATCGCTCGGAGGGCTTTCTTGACACCCTCAAGCCACAACATTGGATCTTCGTCAACTATAGTACCAAGGAACAATAGAGGACTCAGCTTTAAAAATTCATTCACTCTTGAGGACTCAGAATTGTTATGTCTATTTGATTGAGGTGGAAACTCATCTCTTCTCTCGTTTCGGTTGGCCATGAAGGCTTTAAACATCTCCATAGCACTGTTAACAGCATTAAACATCTGACCCACCTCTGGAGATATAGTTATCTGAGCCGGAATTGCTGTTGGGGGTGGCACTGGATCCTAAGGTACTTGCTCATCATGCTCCACCCCTTCTTCATGCTCAAACCGGGGTACTTGAACCCCATTTGTGGATTTACCTTTCCTTTATGAGTTGAAGCCTTCTTAGTTCTACCTTGAGCCACAATAGTAGCAATAGTTTCTTGAGCAACATCTTGATTGTCGGTGTCAGAGTTGCGAGTACGAGCCATTTCTGCGAGTTTTGGAGAAACGAATACATTAGATAATTTCTTAGAGGTAGGCTCTACTACACGATCTAAAGTATGAAAAAAATAAGACTTTTCCTAAATGCTTGTAGCCTCCTACTTATAAGTATGGTGCGCTTCATACCCATAAAAAAGACTCTGCTGACACGGCTTCATAGAGCCCTAGGACTCCATAAACCTGAGGTTCTAATACCAAGTTTGTCACGACCCATTTTCTAAATAAGCCGTGACCGGCACCTGGTCACTAAATTTGACCAAGCGATCCACCTATGCTTATCAAAATTGTTATAACCTAAAACTTTATATGCAACAAGGCAATACTTTAACGAAATACATTTAATTAAATTAAATATCTAAAATAAATCAACTCCAAAAATTTATTCGTAGTAACTACTAAAATATTGCAAATTTATTGTCAAAAACACCTGAATCTTAACCCACCGACTGTGTCTATGAAGCCTCTACTGATAAACTGACGCATTGCTCAGGACATGAGATTTCCTGGCCAGTTCTCTAAGTAAACAAAGAAATAGCTAAATAATGACGACTCAAAGGAGTACTCCACGAACAAAGGCAGAGCTCACCAATAGCACTAGAAGTGAGGGAAGCCCGTAGCCTGCTCGCCTGCACAATCGGTTCCTATGTTGAACCACAGACCAACATAGGTACCCAAAAGAGAACATCAGTACCATCCATTGTACTCAGCGAGTCTCAACGACAGGTGGGGGGGGGGGGGGAATTTTAATAAAATATACATTATGAGCAAAGATTCTAAATGCATAGAAAACATAAAGCTTCAAAGAACAATACTAAAATAATTGCATAATAGCACTTTATAAATATTCGAAAAGAAATTCTTTTCTTTTTCTTTCTTATAGAAAAAATACTTCACTTTATACTTCGGGAGTTCCAACTATCCTGACTTATTCGATCCCAACCTGATCAAATAGGCCCAATCCACGAGGTGCCACTCGCTTCATGGTTATTAGCGCTCATGTATCATACCTTAGCTTGGCTAGGCGAATTCTCAGCAACGAGACCCTCGGCTCGTGTGCTCCCTACTTTGGCACAAGTAGTTTCAGGAAGTCAACGCCTTGATCAGGACCCTCGGCCTAGAAGATGACCCCTTCTTAGAATAGAGGATACTCCAAAAAAAAAAAAATACTTTAATAATAAATTGTTCCGTGTGACCTTGCTAGGATCTAAATCAACTTCTCAACTTTCTTGACCATTCAAGTCTAAATCTTTTCTGGAACATCCTATACATACTCATACTGGTATCCTTAAATGTAAAGCATGGCATAAGAATGAAATAACATTCAAAAGTATTTCTAAAGATTCTTGCTTCTTCATGAATTTTTCAACATGAAAACGACATATAAGAATAATACAAAAATCTGAAAATTTATGCACATATATCAGAATAAATCATCTAAACTTTAACTAGAATAGTTCTAAGCTAATAGATACTCACTCGCTCCAATTAAGTACATATTAACTCTTTTAAGCAATTCGTCAAATAACTTCTATGCGTGCTTTTGTGAGTTAAACCACTTTAGTAAATGGTTATATCAACTCACCTCAAAATTCCTCAAGCCAATACGGCCCCCGTCTAATTTATACTCGTCAAACAATTAATTCTACAACAACCAGTGTATTTTAATTAATTTCAAAGTTTCACCCCTAAACATGGAACTAACTGTATCAACAGAGAAAGAAGGGAATTAACAATTCAATTTTTACCTATTACTACTGTAGGATAATTGACAATAGGAATTTTATATACCTGATTTCAAGAACTAGTGATTTGTAAAGAAACCCAGAACTTTTCGTTACTTGCGTGAATCTATTTCGTGGTTGCCTCTAGCGTCCTGTTTGCTTTGTTTTGTTTAAGGCTTTTTAAGCCTTTTGCCTTTTGAAAGGAAGATACATTTTTTTGTATAAGGCTTTAAGCCTTTGTTTACAACAGCCACTCCATGGGCTTTAGGCAAAATTTTTTTTTTTGACTTAACTAATAATTAATGATACATACTTTTAATAATTAATAATATTAAAATTATTAATATTTTCCTAATTGTATATCCAATTATTTATAAATAGAGAAATAACTCAAAAGTCAATCACAGGGTTTAAATCAGTAATAGAAGTATAATTTAAGGAAAATAAATTAAATTCTATATTTAGGCGTGTCTTGAAACTTTTATATATTTGAGGAGTGTTATATTTTTAAGCATGACTAGCAACATTAGATGTAAGACGGAAAGGAAATTTCATGGATGGGGTAGCAAACAAGGTGATGAATATATATATATATATATATATATATATATATATATATATATATATATATATATATATAAGCAAAAACTAATCTTTTTCAATGGATATGGTTGAAATGGCATATAGGTGAGTCAATATACAATATTTTGAGGAAGATTGGATGTGATGGACTAATTTGATATAAATTCGTAGTTAAAATCGAGTTCAAAAATTCTTTTGCGACACATGTATCACATATTATCTCACACACAGGTATATATGGATATACATGTGATACCCATTTGATACAAATATAATACATATGTGATACAGAAATGATACCCTATGTGATACACATATCATCTTTTTTCATGTTCGTTTTCCACAATGAATTTTCAACTTAAACCACCTCAATACTCTATAAAAATAATCCTAAAACTGATATTTAAACTCCTTAAGATGTATCCAATCTATTCCAACAACACCCACTCAAAAGAAAGTAAAAATTTGACCTTTTTTTGGCTATAAATAGCTAATTGACTAATATAGTAATATTTTATGAATTGATTAATTTCTGTGTTAACTTACTTATGGGTTGACATAACCGATAATTTTCCAATTCTTTTTGACTTTCTCATCTCCAAAATTATTGGCCTTCTTGTTTGGTGATCGCACTTTCTTATACTAACTGCCTAAATTCAAGATGTCAACAACAAAAATAGGAATAACAACTAGACCTTTTTAGTGGAAGCGACAAATGAATCTTGTTAGAGTGAGTGAATCGACTGAAATTACCTTCCCCAAACCAAAAAGAAAAGCAAATCCAACTACTGTGATGAAATTTGGTTACTAGCGATCAATATATTCCAAAAATATAGCATATTAATAGATATATAGAATAAATATATTATAAACTCTATCAATTCAATAGAGAAAACTCTAAAGAGCAATAATTATGTGCGGATTTCTAAATAACATTAATTTTTGATACATTCGACCAAGACTAGCTCCTTACGAGGCCATTCCTTTCAATAACCCGAGCTAAACCAATGGTCATCAATATATGATGCCGTTTCTCTTTTCTTTTTTCCTTTATTTATTTTTGTAATGTCAAACTTGACACTTTGGTCTGCCTAACAGCTTGTTTGGATGGTTGTTACTCGTTGTATCCTATTGTATTGTTATTCCAAAATAATATTTGTTTTAATTGTTTCATTAAAATTGGTTGTATTGCATTATTAAATTCATTGTTCCGGAACAATGAAAAGTCCCCTTTTTTGAAACAACCGATTTGGTGTGGTGGAATTGTTTCCTATTTTTCTTTTCAATTATGTTTTAACTTATTACTCCAATATTCTATTTTACCCTTTACCTTTTTTCTATTTTAACTCCAAATCTCCAACCTATAACCTACTTTGTTTTTTTTCCAGAACTTCTGCCACCAACGTTAAATGTGTTTTGCCGCCTTTGTTTTATTTTTTCTATTAATTTGGTTTTAACTCATTCTAATTAGTTGTGCTCCTTTGTTTTGCCTTCTTCTGTCTCGCTCCTTTGTTATGCTTTCTTAAGGTGTTTTGCCTTCTTCTGTTTTGTTTTTTTAAATTATTTTTATGCATAATTTTTGATAAGTTTAATATTTAAACAGTTGAGGGTATTTTAGTCAACTTATCAGTTACAGTACAGTACGACACAGTCAAACCAAACAGCAAAATATTATTTAACGATGACAAACAATACAATCTATCAAAATATTGTATTTAAAAAACGATACGGTACAATACGATACAATACAATACATACGATAGAGAACAATGATCCAAACGGAGTGTAAGTAAAAGTATATCTTTCCCATGACCTCAAACTTTCTTCCCATCCACGTTTGAGTAGAAAGAGTCGGGTCAAAGCAGAAGCCTCTTAGAAATGAACAAGGCGGGGGAGAAATTAATTTCTTGTTTGAATTCGTCTTCGTCTTCGTCTTCGCCATCCATTCAAGACTCCTTACACCCAACTCATAAATACTAATACCTCTCATCCTATAAGCCAACCAAAAACCCACTTTGGTACTTGTTCTTAATTAATTAGCTAAATCGCCTTGTTCTGTCAAAGAAAGCTCGTCAGAAAATAAATGGAAGATGCTTCGAGCGGTAAACTTGATCAGTCAGGTGCGTTAGCTTTCATAGGAAAGATTGTGGTGGGGGTAATCGTATTTCTATTCCTAGTAGTGATCTTCATATTCTTCCTTCACCTTTACGTCAAGTGGTCCAGGAATCGTCGCCGGCAAGAAGCCAATGGCAGCACAGAGCGCCGCCACAAAGTCAAAGTTCAGGGACTTGACCAATCCATCTTTATAACAATTCCCGTACTTGCATTTGATGCTAAAGAATTCAAATTACATGGAACTCTGGAATGTACTATTTGTCTTTGTGAGGTCACTGAGGGTGAAAAGACAAGATTTTTACCAAATTGTAATCATGGGTTTCATGTTGATTGCATTGACATGTGGTTTCAATGCCATTCCACTTGTCCTCTTTGTCGTAACGAAGTTTCCACGACATCAGAGGTTGAAGCTTCAACAGAGTTGCCGAATTTCCCAACCAATGTGCTGTATTGGGGAAATGAGACTCAAGTTAGCACCTTGTGTAGTAATCCTTGTTTGGGCTCAACAGCATCTACGAGTAATAATCGGCCACATGGAATGTTGGTGATCGATATTCCAGGGCGAATTAGTGAAGAAGAGTCGAAATCTGTAATGCCTGAAAGACTGAGGCGTTTGATGAGGCTTTTGAGCGGGGACAGAAGGGTATTTAGTCCTTCTAGTTCGCAAAATGTAGATATAGAACAAGGAGGTGGTAGAAGCCCGAGCTAGCATAGACTCAGAGATCGATCCAAGAAGTGAGTGTGGTTCCCTTTATATATGCCTGTTTGTAGTACATACTATAATGCATATGTAATTAAGGTATAGATCTAGTTCATTGATTCTTGATGACACTTTGGTGTCTGCATCTTTTAGGTGTCTATATATAGTGGATATATTGTACATGTATAGGCTTCTCTCTGTTTGAGAATAGAGGCAATCTATCTTCTCTTAACAGAAGAGGTTACAAGTATTTTTTGTCAATGTAAGCTGTGAACTTTCATGTATTGTCCGGCTGCTGCAATCTAGATATATAATTTACACCTCACTTGAATTATCTTCGCATGAATTTGGTTTCTTCAGGAAATAGTACTCGTATTTTCTATATTTTTGTAGCAAAGCGTTGAAAGAAATTAGTTGAGCTCATGATCTAGAGTTATTGAATGAAATTGCTACTTAGTTGCTGAATTCAGGCTGCTTAGACCTGCTTTATTTATTGGTTGCTTATTCTTCTCTTTCTCAAGAAACACACACACGCACAGAGAGAGTTGAATGACTTATCAAAGTCACGGGGAATTTCGGTTAAACAATATTGATCCTTCAATGATACAACTGAACCCAGTCGATACGACATACCTTTAGTATTCAACCAAGCTAAAGTATGTCGCCATGACTTTCGGGTTTACTTTTTTGGTGTTTTGGGGTCATGCAATACGAATTTGTACTTATATTTACTTTTTTTGTGCATATAATGTACATGCTAATTTTGTAGAACTTTTTTGACGGATTCCAATTGGCCTGAAATTTCGTAGGTCCACAGGAAATAGCCTAGTGACCAATACTCATTGATTCGCCATGACTTTCAGGTCTATTTTTCGGTGTTTCATGGTCATGCAACACGAATTTGTGGTTATATCTACTTTTTGGTGTGTACTAGTATATGCTGATTTGTAGAATTTCTTTGACGGACTTCGATTGACCCTCCATGGAACTAGCTAAGCTTTGCTAGATCGTTAGCCTATCTTGTGAACAGGTTAAATTTTTATGAACTAAATTTGACACCCCTAAATAACCAGGGGAGAGGAACCAAAGGCAACAACAGGGGCGGAGCTAGAGCTTCTGATGCGGGTTCGGCCAAACACTTTATATTTGTGAATATGTACAAATTAATTTAGAACCCAGTAACTTAGAAGGAATAGAACACCGAACCTATTAGCTTCAAATCCTGGCTCTGCCTCTGGACAACAGTATATCCCTGATCCCTCCACAGAAGTAGCTTGATTTGCTAGATCATAAGCTACACTATCTCGACTTACCTTTCTGTAAAACTAAAGAGAAGTACATCCATTGCTATGGGTTATGACTCAAAGTTTTTCACACCTGTGTCTCTGTAACAACTCTTTTTGGTTTGCAGTTTGCACTTTGCCAGTGAGTCATCCCTTTCTCACATATAGAGTTAAGAGTAGCATAAGTTATCTATTCGCATACAGACAGAAATGCTGCAAAATGAAACCTCAATAAGTGTACTCAGGTTTTGGCTGGTATTTCACTACTAGAAATTCGGTAATTAGCGACCAAAAAAGCCGACCAACTTTGGTCGGTTATGGCCAATTACCGACCAAAATGCGACCGAATACGCTTGGACGGTATTTTGGTGGTCGCTTTAGTATACCGACCAAAGTTGGTCGGAAATTACCGACCAACGTTGGTCGTTAAATTAAATTCAAAAAAAATATTACAAAAAAAAACCGACCAAAGTTGGTCGGTATTTTAATTATGTAATCAAAAGATTCACCGTCTAGGAATCTAATCGGGGTGTGTACTGTGGTAGGATACTATTCTACCACTAGACCATTGGTGCATTTTATTTTAAGATTGTCTTTTTTTTATTTATACTCTTTAATTATATTTTCGCACGAAAATAACCGACCAAAGTTGTCTATACCATGCTCTCACATGTTTATCTTGCTATGTTTCCCTATGTATTCTTTGGCTATGTTTTCTGATATCCTTGTGTTCCTCTACTGTATTTTCTACTAAGTTTCTTAGTTCTTTGTTTGCCTTCTACCGGACCTTGTTTGAGTTCCCTTTAAACATGTTTCCTCTACTGTTTTTCTTAAGTGTTATACTATTTCTTTTCTCTCCTGAATTTGTTTAAGTCCCAGGTTTTTCTTGAATATGGTCCTTCTACTCTCACTATGCTTCAAATTAGTTTCTTCACTCTGTTGTTTCGAATTTGCTATTGTATCTGTTTGCTTTCTCATGAGTTTCTTAAAGAAATCTCTGAGCTTGTTGCCTCCTTATCTCTGATTCGAGTTTGAAACCCTAGAATTTGGGGTTTTTACCAAGGTTTGAGCAAGTGTTTGAACTGGCGTTCTATTTTGGAACCCTTGACTCTTTTAGACTCATTCTGAGTCTATGAGCTGAGTTTGAACTCCTTTGTTCACGACTCTGAAATCTTTCTATGCTAGACTTTTCTACTGATTAGTATGATAGTTCTTCGTGTTTAAGCATGGCTGTATGTTTTTATACGTGTGATGAATTCTTTCTTTTGAAAAGGTTTTCCAACTTATGATTGATTAGAATCTTATTTTTAGGGTTTGATTGATTGTTACTGAGTTTCCTTAAGTAAAACCTTTCTTCCCCCCTTTTCTGACTGGGTTCACTCACACCAAATATTTGGACTTCTGATTTCGTGGCTGTTAATTGACTCTCTTTCCTTAATTATACAACCGTGTACTGTCAAAACCCTGCCCTTAAATAACTATTATGTATTTACCCCTCTTGTACTGCTTTGAAAAGAGTTTGATTAATTTATTTCCTTAATTAGTTATGCCCGTTTGAATCTGAACCCCTTAATTAAGGGAGATTTTTGTGTAATTGATTAGCAATCAGCTTTCAAAATTATTTCTTGCTTTGTTTCTGCCTGCTTTCTACACTATAAATACATGACTCCTTAAGGGAGAAAAGGGACAGACTCTTAAAAATCACAGTCACATGAAACCACCTATTTTCTGACTCCAGCATGCTTATTTAACCTTTATACATTCCTACTTGTAATCATTATGTGGAAGTTGTCTTGTATGCTTATTTGTTTTAAAGTCACAATTATAACATGGCCGGGAACCACACTAGTGGATCTTGGAGGGTGCCTAACACCTTCCCCCTGAGATAATTTCAAGCCCTTACCCATTCTCTGGTTCTTCTTCCTTTTAAATTTTTTGGTGTCCTAATGCACTTAATCATTAGATGGAGACTCTTCAAACTCCCAAAACCCAATTCCCAAAAGGGAAAGGAGTTGTCCGCCCAAATGTCGTAAACCCGATTTCGCCTTTTAAAAGAGGAAAAAGGGGGCGTCGACAGCATGGCGACTTTGCTGGGGATTTTCTTTTAGGCTTTTACCATTACATGTTATTTCTGACTTTATTGCTTCTTTATTACTTTTATTTAATGTCTTTATTTCTCTTCTACTTCGAAACTGACTTGGCTTTTGTTTTCTTTTCTTGCTTTTACCGCTTTCCTTGAATATTGTTGTAGTCATGAGTAATTATTGTAATTATTATTTTATGAACGTGCAAATACGTGACAATTTGTTCCATTCTTGTAATTGCATCTTCAACATCATATTCCACTCGTGCCAAACAAATACCATAGCAACGCTTATAATGAGT